CATTTTTATAGCTCAAGCTCCCAGGTGGTATTCTTGGTACTCTCAGAAGCTCTGTTAGAAAGAAACTCTCAGCCGGGCGGTGGTGGCGCACGCCTTTAATCCCAGCACTCGGGAGGCAGAGGCAGGCGGATCTCTGTGAGTTCGAGACCAGCCTGGTCTACAGAGCTAGTTCCAGGACAGGCTCCAAAACCACAGAGAAACCCTGTCTCAAAAAACCAAAAAAAAAAAAAAAAAAAAGAAAGAAACTCTCAGAGCCACTTCATTTTTCTGTTTATTGTGGGTTTGGTGTGTGCATGCACATGTGCGTGTGTGTGCATGTGTGCGTGCATGCACATGTGTGTGCATGTGTGCGTGTGCGTGTGCGTGTGTGTGTGTGTGTGTGTGTGTGTGTGTGTGTGTGTATGCGTGTGTGTAAAAGCCAGAAATTAACTTCAGGAACTGTCCCCAGGAAGGCCATCTGCATCCTTTGAGACAGGGTCTTTCACGGGCCTGGAGCTGACTACAACTTAGTTTACACTGTTTGGCCAGTGGGCCCTGGGGATCCTCCCATCTCTGCCTCCCCAGTGCTTGGGTTACCTGCACATCTGGCAATTTAACACGGATCCAGCAGCTCACACTCAGGTATTCCCACTATGTAGCAAGCCCTTCTCTCCACCCTGCCCCTGAGCATTTTCTATTTTAAGTCTTACTTGTTTGAGCAGCTATCATGACTGACCAATATAAAAGTATGATTTCGTAGCTATTTTGACTAAGAGCCCTGCCCCCATAAACACACATCACACATGTGGTTAACTCTGCCTGGCTGTATAACGTGTGGCGCTGTTCTTCATTTGGTCTGTAATTTCAACAACCGACGAGTTATCTCCTAGACAGAAAGACAGAAAGATTTCAGAAGTGATGGCAGCTGTCACACACACAAATCCAGCATCTTGGAGATATAAGAGAGCAGTGACCAGAAAGAAGCAAGATCCTCCACCAGGCAGAGGCCTCAGCTGGTCACGTGACTGTTTACAGCCAGGCACACGCAAACACACACAAGAGGATGCTGCTCTAATGGTGCTAATGACGGCGGACATTTATAGCGACTTCCTTCACAAAAGTCCTGAGCAACACACAATTAAAGGCAGCCGCGGACAAAAAATCCTTTCATCTGAGATTCATAAAAGGAAAGTAATTCAGCCTTCCTAAGCACTAAAGGAAGCCAGCGCCACTGGATGGTGTGTGTGGTGGCGGGGGGAGGGAGGGTAAAATCTTCATGGCTCAGGCCCCCGATTCTTGCATGTTATATTTAGGACAATCAAACTGGTCTGTAGAAAGAAAACAAACTCAAAAGACACAAGCCCCCAAGTTACAGGGGGAAAAAAATCAAGATGAAATCTCATCCAAGCACAAGAGAACTGTTCCCACGAGAGGCTGCGGGAGGCCGTGGCCTTGTTTGCCTGTCTGTCAGACTTGGCAGTGTGGCGTGACTGGATTTGAAAGCCTGAGAAACAGAGTAGACTTGGGGTTAGACATAAATAATCTGTGGATGAGGCCCTGCTGCGTATTGGATTTTAAAATGCTGCAAATGAGGCCCCTGGGATTTCATTGCTACCTGGTCCCAAGTCATCCTCACAGGACTGACTGAGAAGCCGTGTCAGGACTCCGGAAGCTGGGGACGGGACCGATGGCATGCGCCAAATGACACGTTTAAAAACTTCCTCCCAAGGGCACGCATGCTGAGCCTTTCCATCAGTGATTTCCTGTTTTCCAACAGCACCCCACTTCCTATTCCCTCTTACCACCATGTCTGCAAGGTGTCCCAGTGACCTGGCTGCGAAGGAAGCCCTGGGTCATTTTCCCACCTTGTGTCAAATCAGAATCCAACATGGTACCTGAGCTGCTCTTTCCTCTCTGACCACCAAGGCGCCACAACGGTGAGTTTAGACGCATTGAATCACCCGGCCGAGAGCAAGAAGAGACAGTGCTCAGGCCTGTGGGAGTTCTCAGAGCAGAGAACACCTCCACTGTAGTTCCGCCAACTCCGTGCTCTTGTCCAGAGCCTTTGAGACCCTGCCGTCACCCGGCATCTTGTAACACTCTTCCTAGCTCTCTCCCTCCTTCATCAATCCCCACTTCCTGCCTCAGGACCTTTGACCTGATGGACCCCCACATGGGCTACGCCCCCTCTGCCTTTCTGGTGTTGACTGCCTCCTCAATATTAGCTCAATGTTACTTTGTGTTAGAATGGCCCCCAGAGTGCCTGGGGACGGCAAAAGGGGACTTTACAGGTAGTACTGGGTGATCTGGGTGGGCCCTAAGTGGAACTGTCCCATCACATGGGAAGCCCAAGGAGGTCTGACCAAAGCCGTTGACATAACCATGGAAACAAGATGCCCTGTGGCTGCTGGCCTTAAGATGGCGGAAGAAGCTAGAAGTCATAGTAGAAAAGGCAAAAAGCTGGGTCGGGTCTTCCAGACCACGCTGCCCTGTCAGTCCCGTGAGAGTCACCCAAGGCTTCATAACCGTAGGGGCAAGGATGTGCTGCCTGATGCCACAGAGTCAGGGTAACTTGTTAGGAACTGAACACACCGGCGTATAGGGGTCTGCACCGGAATGGCCTTGCTTCCTCAGCGGGGCTGTGAGGCCCAGACAGACCACTCTGGGAAGCTGCTGATCCGAGGCTGTTGGCTGCTGCATCACAAACAACCCATTTCCAGAGAGCCCAAAGTATTCTGTCAGAGTTAGGACAAACACCTGCTTCGGCCCACTCATCTCACAGATGTAGAAACTGAGGCTCGGGGGACCCTGCAGCTGGGCCGAAGGATGAGGGCACTGTCAATCAAACCTTTCAATCTTGGCCCTTCGATGCCATTTGGAGTTTTCAGCATGAACAATTGCACAGGCTGTCGATCGCTTGGCAGTAATTTCATAATGACCCAATCATGAAATAATCTAGCTGTCCAGATTTGAATTGTTTGCGGCTGTAGTGACTGGAAAGCTGGTTAGTTAACATCCATTTCCCGAGAGCCAAGCATATGGCTTTAGAAGGAAACCAAACCCTGAAATACTTGTTAGCTCTGCTGATAATGACTAAGTAATTGGCTAGAACACACCATTGTGGATTTCGCTACATTATGCCAGGCAATTATCTGGTCGTATGCTCCCTGTAAAAATAAAACCAAGGTCCCCCAAACTGTTCTAGTCAGTTGGCTAGCTTCCAACAATCAATCATGCAGATGCAAATGATTAATCGAATTACTCAGATATCAGGGTGCGAATAGAACGTCCAGATAGGTACTCTTAAAGGGCAGCAAGTAGATGGAGCTAAGTGGGGGACAGACTGACTCTCCCCGTGATAAACATGTAACAATGAAATAATCGGGGAATAGACACTACTTCTTCAGGGTTTATCTGCTATCCTCACACAAAATACCAGACACTTCAGAGACCAATTATATGTCCCAAAGCCGCCAGACATTTTTTTTTATTTTTAATCGTGGTGACCAGAAAAGGCTGGGTGCTCTGTGAAATCTATGGGTGGTTATGGCACACGGGGTGGGCACCCACAGTTCTGTCGCAGAACAGAAGGCTGCAGAGCAGCTGGGCTTCAGGGATGAGCAGGACATCTTCACAATGGCCACTCATTTTCCGGAGCTGCTAATAGGGTCTGTATATGTGCTTGAGCCACTCTTTGGGACAGGGAGGGGAAGGCAGGAGGAATGGGTCCCTGAGATCCATGGGTCACCAGACTTGTAGATCTCAAGGGAGGGGCTCCTAACTTCTGGGAAAAAGAAGTTGCTTCCCGATGAGAGAGAAGCTCAGAGCGCAGAGGGGTCCCTGAAGAGGGATCGCTAAAGAGGGCTATAAAAACAGCTATCTATGGTCCTCTCCCTGCAGAGGCTGCCGTTCAGAGACCAAGTCTTTCTCCCTAACTTGAATCCAGTTGATTACAGAAGATGCTCTAGCGAATGGATGTCAGCCAGTGGAGGCATGCAAAACACCTGTGCATTTAACCTTTGACCCCTTGCTGTACAGAGGCCACATGGGAAAGTCCCGGAAGTCGTGTGAAGCAGAACTGAGATACCCCAGCTACCAGGGTACCTACCGACTAGCAGATAGGTAAATATAGGGGTTCCCCCTCCCCTGACCAGATCCTTCATTGCTGCCAGCTGAGTCAGGCCACAGAACAGGACTCAATCCAGAACTATCCCCAGCACGGAGGGAAGGCACTGAGCTCCAGAGTTGGTCCTTTACTCTACCAAGAGTTTGTAGCCTGCTCCCCAAAACGATGGCTTGAGAAGCACTTCTGTCTTGGGGAGACACGAGAGCCCCCGTGTTTACACTGGTTTAAGGAGAGGCAGAGGCCTCTACCACCATCCCCAGGCTTTGCAGGCACTTGTCATGTGACACAAGAGCCCCAGTCATCCCCACCATTTGCATAATCGACAACGACCTGGTAATTCTCCTGCTGCCAAGGCCTGGGAAACAGACCGAACAGATACCACCTCTGCTGAGCCGCTGCCCTTCTCTGACACCTTTCACGCTAGGTGACTAGCTCACGGTGAGATTTTTAAAGCTTGGACACTCAGAACAGCGGCGGCAACGGCTCCACAAACATTCTGCGAACCATTGAGAGCCACAGTCACGGTCTCCGGCATCTCAGACCAAACTATGGGGCAGATCTGGCCTGCCACTTGGGTTTCTACAAGTCTCATTGCAGCGCTGCCATGCAAATCCATCTACATATTGATGTTCTTGTGTGACAGTGGCAGAACCGTCTTGCTAAGGCAGAAACTGCAGCCTGCGAGGCTGACTGGCATACCTCCCTGGGCCTGTGACACACGCTGGCTGATCTCTGTGTAAAGCAAGACACTCATATTACATATGGAGAGACAAGAGTCGAAGAGCCGCCTATGCAGAGCAGACACAGAAGCCGCTTTTCTGGTTCCCAGTGCCATACATCTTTCCAGACACTGATAAAGCCCTGGGAAGCCCCCGTGAGAGCCGACGGGACTGACCTGGTGATGATGGCCAAGTGGGGCGGGCTCATGCAGGCTCCCATGAAGAGCACCACATTCTCGTGCCTCGTCTGCCTGTAGGCCATCACTTCCCGCTTGAAGGCCTTGAGCTGGTCCTCGTTGTCCCTCTCGATGTCAATCAACCGGATGGCCACCTCACCGTGCCAGCGTCCGTGGTACACTTGCCCGAAGCGACCCTTCCCGATGAGCTCGCCGATCTCTAGCTGCTCAAAGGGGATGTCCCATTCCTGAAGGAAGATGCTGGTCTGGCTGGCCTTGCGTGGGAAGCTCCGGGCTGAGAGGAGGGACAGGTTCATCTCCTCAAAATCATCCTCAGACTCCTCTGCCTCATCGTGGCCCTCTTCGTTCTGTGGCCAGAGAGGAGAGAGGTCAAAGCTATGGCCACCCCAGCTCCACCCTCCCTAGCGGCCTGCTGGGTAGCAGCATGCTGTGGAGGTACAGCTGTTTCCCAGGTATCTTTGAATTCGAGTCAAACCACAAAGGACTTAAAGCAGAGCCAAGATGGTCCAATGGCCTTGGGCTGAGATAGGAAAAATGCCAATGGGACCAGCTGTTCTAGTCTGAATGGACGTTTTACATTGAAAAGTATCAGTTTTCACACTGAAAAGTGACATGTCCGAGGACACCTGTCAACCCTGGGCAAACTGGTCACCCTGGGAGGTCTTTACTCCCTCACCCTGGATCACAGCCAAGCAGAGGGACAGCTTAGATTCAGGTTTCTGGATCCCTGCTATCCGGTGTCGTTCCTGTTCTACCATGCTGGTTTTGACTTGCTTGACAGTAGGTGTACCAGAGGAACCGCAGGCTAGAAGATGGATGTGCTGTGTGTCTCTTTATATGACAGGGGACAACCATCACCATGGGCTGCCTATCAGCCTCCTCCAGGAAATTCACAATCGATTTGGAGATTGGCAGACTTGGCCCTTTTAAGACCAGGAGGCTGGGAGAGCCCAGAGCAGACGGCTGAGACCATGTGCTGAACACTCAGACCCAGTGAGATGGCCTCTGGCCTGTGTGACCCTGGGAAAATTGGTCCACCTCTCTGAGCTTTCCTTATCTCCCTTTAAAGTGGAAGTTAGGTAAGAATTTTCTCCAGGCAGTGGCAGAAAGTTTCAATAGAAGATGAGTTCTGAGGTTCTGCCACCTCCTACATCGAACATGTATTGGGATGCTGGAGAAAATGCAGATTCTAGGGCCCCATCCACCTAGATCTACTGACTTAAAACATCAGCAGGCCTGCAGTGAGACCTATGTTTTAACTACAGGACTCATGAGGTCAGTGGAGACCAATCAAGGGAGAATGCATAGGGGTTGGGGAGATCTAGGCTCGGGGGTGTGTCAACTAACATGGGGGAAAAGCAGATGCCAGACCCCATGGGAAGCCCTAGAGACCTTAGTGAGATGACCCCAGAAAGGGACCTCTTCACTGAACCCTGTGTTTATAAGATGGCTGTCCATGGCTCTGAGGGGGATCGAGGTGGAATGTCAGCTCTCAGGCTCAGTTCTAGGAGACTGCTCCTGTCTCTGAATGGGATGTGGGCTCTTTCCCAGAGCCCTGCCTCTGGCCTTTTTAGCTCAGGGCACACAGTAGGGCCGAAACAGCAGACCCAATGGCTGTTCCTCAGGACATTTCTTTACTCCCTTTAGCACAGATGGAAGGAAGCCCAGAACCTCCTCGCTGCGCTGCCAACCCAGCATCCTCGGGACTCCCACCTGCTAGTGTATGTTATCTCAAAGGCAGCGGGGCACATCCCCTTCCACTTTCCCCCACTTTCCTGAGCTAATTTTTTTTTTACCTAAAAATGCAAATCACAGGCCAATTTCTATCCAACTGTCTCTGCGAGGATGAACACAGGCAAACGGCCCATTAGGCGCAGCGCCTGGAGGAGCCGCAGCTTCTTAACTGTCTAGAGTGAGAACATTCATCAAACAGCCACGGGGCCCCACCTCCCTACCCCTGTCCCTCTGCGTCATCGACGACACCAGGCAGTTTTGCCAACCTCGAGCCAAAGCCACCTCTCCGGTCTCCAATTCTCACCTCCGAGGTTGGTTCCACTTCAATCTGAAGTAATGGATTTCCTTCCAAGCTGTAAATCAGAGGGGGGAAAAACACCCATGACCCTTACAACTCTGGATTTAAGGAGAGCCATGCTCAGGAGTCTGAAGTGAGAAGCCCTGGTCATGAAACCTTCAGCTCAGGTGTCACCCCAACGCTTCGGTCTGAGACAATGCACAGCCGGGAGTACAGAAAGAGCTCCCCAGACCGTTATTTTAAAAGAAATTCTCCTGGTTTGCTCAGGACTTGCTTTCCTTTATGCCTTCAGCTTCAACCAGTACAGCAGCCTCTTTTCGGGTGGGCAAAAACATCACAGGTGAGCAACTCCTCCGAGGCCTAATGTGCACCGGGAAAGAATAAACCACACTTCTAAACTTCTCCTATAAGGGTCTTTAAAAAGAAGATTTAGTTTTATTTTTAATACTCTGTCTGTGTGAGGCTGTGTGTGGTGGTGGTGGTGGTGGTGGTGGTGTGTGTGTGTGTGTGTGTGTGCACGCTTGTGTTACCTACCAAAGCCAGAGGGTAGCTGAGGCTCTGGAGACTGGAGTCACGCAGGGTTATGAGCCACCCGCGATGGTTATTGCGTTTCTAAAACTTGACCCAAGCTAGAGTTATCTGGGAAGAGGAACCTCAACTGAGAAACACTTCCATCAGATCGACCTGCTGGCAAGTCTGTGAGACATTTTCATGATTGATGATTGATATGGGAGAGCCCAGACCACTGTGGGTAGTGCCTCCCCTAGGCAGATGGTCCAGAGCTGTGTAAGAGAGGAGACAGAGCAAGCCATGGAGAGCAAGGCGGTAAGCAGCACCCTTCCATGGCCCGCCTCCATGACCTGCCTCCAGGTCCCTGCCTCGAGTTCCTGCCCTGACTCCCTCAGGGACAGTGTGTGACCTGAGAGCTGAAAGCTGATGGGAACTCTTCCTTCTACAAGGTGATTTTAGTCACGGTGTTCATCACAGCAACAGACATAGGGCTAGCACACTACCCAATGCTGGTGCTGGGGACCCAACTCAGGTCCCCTGCAGGAGGTTGGTAAGTGCTCTTAGCTGCTGAGCCATCCTTACAAGGATATTCAATAACAACGCATTTGTCTGTTCGTTTACTCATTTTTAACTCATCCACCTACTCATCTAGAATTCTGCACCAGGCTTGTCTTTAAAAGGAGGCTCTAGAGTTGGTGGCAACATGGCTCCTGGCATGAAGGGAAGTCTTTTTTTTTTTTTTTTTTTTTTTTTTTGGTTTTTCGAGACAGGGTTTCGCTGTGGTTTTGGAGCCTGTCCTGGCACTAGCTCTTGTAGACCAGGCTGGTCTACAAGATCCGCCTGCCTCTGTCTCCCGAGTGCTGGGATTAAAGGCGTGCGCCACCACCGCCCGGCTGAAGGGAAGTCTTTGTACGACTGAAAGAGCTTACTGTAGATGGCGGGGGAAAGGCTGAAAGCAACAAGGGCCAGCAGCCACCAGTGAATTGAACAGATGGAGTGTTGGAGGGATTCCCAGAAGAAAGACCGACACACTGGGCGCACCTGGAAGTTCATGGTTATCGTGGTCTAAATGAGAGTGACCCCCATGGGCTCAAATATCTGAATGCTGAATTGCTAGACTGTGGTCCCATTTGAAAGGATTGGGAGGTATGGCCTTGTTGGAGGAAGTGTGTCCCTAAGAATGGGCTTTGAGAGTTCAAAGACCCATACTGAGCCCAGTCTCCCCCACCCCTGCCTGTGGATCAGAATGTAATTCCCAACTACTTTCCCAGAATCCTGCCTGCCATGCCCGCTGCCATGCTTCCCACCCTGATGATAACCAGTTAACCCTCTGAAACTCTAAGGAAGCCCCCCCCCCCCCCGATTAAACGCTTTCTTTGATACGAGTTGCCTTGGCCATGGCGTCTCTTCCCAGCAATAGAGGAGTGACAGACAATGGTGTTGGAGTTTAGCTTGGCCAGTCTCATGGCACCAGCATACATGGAAGGAAACCAAGAGCTTTGCTGGGTGGAAAGGCACGGGTGTGAGTGTGTGTGTGTGTGTGTGTGTGTCACGTGTGCAAAGCTCAAACGCTGCAGCTGTATTCTAAGTGTGGGTGCTGGGGAGAAATGGGTCTGTGCGGGCAATGCAAGTGTTGACGGGATGTGTGAAAGGGCCGGTCTCGAGCTGCGTGAACACACTAGAAGGCAGTAGGGATGCTCTAACTGGCTGTGTGTTAACAGTGTGAGGACACTATCAAATGCGTAGTTCTGTAATGGGGATGTGGGGTACGCTAAGTGTTTACAGGGGTGTTTGGAGACGATTTTGACACTTAAGGATATATATCTCGGGAGAGCAGTGGGAAGAGAGCCGCTTGGCCACAGATTGCACACAAAACTCAGAAGACCTAGCACAAAGCCATTGCCAGGAAAACAGTGTCCTCTTTATATTTCTCTGATGGAACTTTAGCCACGCCCCTTCCCACCCTATTGTGGGAGGAGTCTCCCTATCCCAACCCTCAGATCTCAGGGAGCTGAGGGCCCTGCACACTGAGCTACCAGGGGGGAAGAGTCACTGTGAGCTACATTATTTATGGTGTAGCCTTAGGAAGTGGGATGAGTCTGTGGGGATGGTAAGGAAAACAGGACAACACAGGAGCCCCTCTCCTCTCCTAATCACCCTAGGGCAGCCCACTCCTTTCTGTTTGAAGGTGGGATTCCAGCTGCCAGGCTATTCAAGGCTTCCCGCTGCAGCCGTCCTGTCCATTACCCCTCGCACATTTAAACAGATCATAAGCAGCTCCCTGCGCCGCCACGGCAACTCCGACTATCGCTAATAACTTGGAGTTCGTCTTGTACAAAGCAGGCAGCGGGCTGTGAGCAGCAGAGAACTGACCCAGAGATCTAGGTCAGCAAAGTGCCTGCCGGCGGCGAGACACCGCTCCTTTGATTTTGGAGACGCACCGACCATGTCGGCGCTTCACAGAGTCCTGATGCGGGTCAAGTGGGATGGAGCCATTAGGGAGGCGAGAAGGAAAAGCAAGCGGGCAGAAATGAGGATTGTGAACCGCGGCACATCCCAGCATGCCCGACTCTGGGCACAGGCACAAAAGGGAAGGAGGGTGACTTCCTGCTTGTATAAGCAATAGGTCATTCGGGGGGATATGTACACCAAGACATTTGTAGCCACCTTGTTTACCACAGGGAGATCTGAATTCCACATCGATATGACATTCTATAGCCAGGAAGACACTGCCTATGAAGAGCCCAGCATCTCACGGGAAATCAGTGTCACTGCGCTAAAGACGAAACAGGACGGTAAGGATTGTAACTGCCTTTGTCCTGAATCACAAATACATGAATGGGATGAGAAAGCTGCTAGAACATTCTAGCAGCATGAAATTCCAAGGGGCAAGTTTCCCTTCCTTGTTCACAGAATATCCTAAATTCTCCCAAATTAGCTACTGCTCATTTCGCGGTGGTATAAACAACAGAGGCTAGCGGGCGCTTTCTGCAAGGGGCCAGAGAGTCAATTGTTTTTTACTTTGGGGAGCCATATGCTTCCGTGCAGCCTCTCCACCCTCCTGCTGCACTGAGAAGGCGGTCAGTCAAGGCCCTGTCAATACACGAGCATGGCGGCGTTTCAATAAAACTTTACTTGTAAAAACAAGTGACAGATGGGGTTTGTCTGACAGGCTAGAGTTTGTTGATCCCAACAAACTGTCTATTTTGTGAAATATATACAGGTGAAAATTGTATATTTCCTTTATCTTTTTTTTCTTTCTGTCACCCTGTCTCCCCACTCCACCCCCCCCCCAGGATCAGGGATTGAATCTAGAACCTTTTTTAGATGTTTAGTTTTTGATGCTGGGACTTATTAAGTTGCTCACGTTGGAATTGAACTTGTAATTCTTTTGCTTTGACCTCCCAAGCATCTTGAATGACAGGCAGGTGGCCACCAGTCTCAGCTTAAGGGACACTTTTTAAAAAGGGAGACCATGGTATAAGCTAAAGTCTAACTATTCCTGCGACAGCTGTCTGGAATCATGAGGAGGATGCTGGGAGGTAATGGTGTGACCTCCGGAAACTGTGGTTGCCATGGAGGACCAGAGCCACAGGAAGAGCTGGCTTGTGGGGGCTAAGGTTGCCTCTTATCACTGCTCTCTCAGCTTGGGGTGCCAGCCCTCTTCTCTCTACTGAGTCATGTCCCGTGTCTTTCTGTGCCCAACTCATCTCCTTCTGGTTTGAGGAACCAAGAAGGCTGAAAGTACTGCAGCTTGGGGCAAGGGAGGAAGTCACTTACATTGTATTGGAGGTGACAGGATGCAGGATGACTTGGGGCGCCCGGGTGGGCGTCTCTGGTACAGGCACCACATCTGAGAGGCAGAGAACAGATATACAGAGATCAAACATGGAACCCATGACCCTCACCTGCCCCAGAGGCACAGCAGCCAGCAACCCTAGTCCGTGTTATGGATTCCAGTGTTGGCCAGTTTCCTTTTCCCCTGCCTCACCCACTGAGATGGACCAGCATCATAGAGATGCTGCACACACATCCTCACTGCCAAGGTGACTAGACGGGATGCCTAAGCATCCACTGCCCATCCCTGAATCCTCCTCACTCCTCACACCCCTTTGGATCAAGGAGACTACTCAGTTCACACCTCAGGCCAGCTCAGGTCCCTTTGGCTTGCTGACCCTCTGGGCTTCCACCGTGCTAGGTATATCCTTGGGTTCCTTGGTGCCCTTGGGATCTCCCACCCTTACCTTCTCCTCTTCCATGTCCAGATGTTATCCTGGAGTGTGGAGACCCCACTAGTCTCCTCTCTGCTTTTGACCTCTCTCCACCAGCCCCAGCAATCCCTGCTCCTCAGAGGGCCGGTCCCCAGGACACTCACCTGGGAAGATGAACTGCTGCTTATATTTGTAGTAGTGGGAAGCTTGCAAAAGACAGAGAACAGAGCATGAGTACCGCCCAAGTGCCGTCTTTTCGGGTACCCGGCCCCATTCCCATTGTCAGGGCAGAGTCATTCTCTGTCCACCCCCAGAGTGTCCATACTGCGAAGACACCCTGTTTATAAGGGAGTAGGAAGATGTGAGTCCCAACCATTTGACATCTCACACTCCCTAAAATCAGGCCACGTCCACCCAGAGGCACAGTGACATACACACCACCACCACCAGAACCACCACCACCACCACCAGGAAGCCATAATCCAAAGTCATCTTTGCCTTTACAGATCCTTTAGGCAAATTTTTGGCATCAAACTTTGCATCTAATTATTTTCTTTGCACTGTAATAAAGTAGCAATAAACACAGCAACTCCCAGCAGCGCTAACAGATCCTTCAGCAGAGATAGATCCCTTAGCAGAGACAGATCCCTCAGCAGAGACAGATCCCTTAACAGCAGAGACAGATCCCTTAACAGCAGAATCAGATCCCTCATCAGAGAAAGATCCCTCAGTAGAGACAGATCCCTTAGCAGAGATAGATCCCTTAGCAGAGACAGATCCCTCAGCAACAGCAGAGATTCCTGTTGCTACCTGTGGGTTGCAACTCCTTTGGGGGCAAAATCGGATACCCTGCATATCAGATATTTACACTACAATTGATGACAGTAGCAAAATTAGAGTTATGAAGTAGCAACAAAATAATTTTATGGTTGAGGGGGTGACCACGACATGAAGAACTAACTAAATATTCACAGCGTTGGGAAGGTTCAGAACCATTGCTCTATAGTCTGGAGGCTGGAACAGTGAAATGAGTCTTAAAGAGCCATGAACAAGGCATATGGTTTGGGCTTCCTGGAGACTCCAACCCAAGCCCTTTGGGCAGGTGGTTTATCTTCTCAAGCAAGCATGGTCAGCAGAGAGTCCAATCTAGTACTTGGCTCCCCAGCAGTTCTCCTCAGTCTGTTTTGTTCTGACATCACTTCCTGTTGGCCTTCTTGCCTGCCCCTTATGGGATTGAATTTGGCATAATCCAGAACACTCTGTGCCCCTCAGAATCTGCACTATAATCCCAGCTGCCACAATCCTTTGGTCAGAGCAGGTGCAGGTTTGTGGGTTAGGATGTGAACATCTTTCTCCCTTCTCTTTTGCTCTTTCAGAGAGCAAGGCCTTTCCTCACTTGCCATAATCATGGATTAATCTCTAAGTTTAACAAGAATAATTATTCAAAAGATGATCCCTGAACCTCACTTGCCGATTCTCTCGACAATTTACTCTACCTCTGGTCCACACACCAAAGGTCAAGGTTTCTAATTTGTCACCTGGTCCTTTGCGGTACAGTGCAGAGGATGTGAACAGGTCACTTTATATTCCTACCCTCACAATAAGCAAAGTGGTTAGCAGAGATGGGGTTACATTCAAGCTGCTGCAGAATCTGGTACCAAAAGCAACTTGAGTGCCTTCAGAGATAGGGATAGCTAACTGTCCCTTGACTCTTCCCTGTGAGGACCCAAGTCTGAGCCTGGAGTCCAGAAACTGACCCAGTAGCGTTGAGAATTTGCTCTATTTATATCCCTTGTAAAATCCAAGCAAACCATTCCAAGTCTCAGTGTCTACAGACAAAATATGGACAATCACAGGGAGATGATTCTGGGACCATCACTCCACAGAAAGGTACAGTGGATCCTGAGTGGGGACAGCTTGGGCCTTGGTTCTTCCTTCCCTCCACACTTGTGGAATATGCATGTAGCTTCCACACATGTGTATACATTTCCCTGGTGATGAGTCCCTAAGCAATACATGAGAACTATTTATCCAGCTCTCAGCCAGTGCTCACTGTTGCACATCACCTAGAGATGGTTTAGCCTGTGGGAGGATGAGGTCACCTGGGGAGAGGTGGCTTTCAGAATATGTGATCTATAGCAGCTTCACTACCTAGACAACAGAATGCTAATGATTTGATGTCTCAGAGTGATGTGGGGGCCCCCTCTGTGTGCTGTGAATACCATTGGTGAATAAAGAAGCTGCCTTGGTCTGTTGATAGGGGAAAACTAAACTGAATGCTGGGAGAAAAGAGGTGGCGTCAAAGAGAAGCCATGCATCTCCTGCCAGAGACAGATGCCAGATTGAACTTTACCTGGTAAGCCACAGCCAGGTGGTGATACACAGATTAATGGAGATGGGTTAAATTAAGATATAATTGTTAGCCAATAAGAAGCTAGAGCTAATGGTCCAAGCAGTGATTTAATTAATACAGTTTCTGTGTGATTATTTCAGGGCTGAGCAGCCAGGAACCAACAAGTGGCCTTCCTACATCAGAGTGTTAGAGCAATTGAGTGAGTTGTCCTTTGTGTCATGTTAATAAAACCTTTTGTCACCTTCTCCCCATCCCATCCCCCTCCTGTTACACTGGGTATAAAAGCTCCAAAAAAATAACCGCAGGTGATTTTCAGTAATCACTGGAATGCCTTCTCGGCACTATTTTACAGTTTCTCTCTTATTATTTTTTATGTGTCTCTGTATTCTTTACTTATACCATGTCCCTCCCCTGGCAAGAGATATTTTTGTCGAGGCTGGTCCCCAATACACAAGGACATGAGCAGCCTTGGACTGTGATATTCATGAGATTCCAGGAACCCTGGATCTGTGGGATGAATGTATTAGCAAGTGCTGAAGAATGAACTCCCAGCTCTGTTAACCACCAGCCAAGGATGATTTAAAACCAAGAGACAGCCAGATAGCTTCAAGTGCTAAACTGTTTGTTGGGGGTGCAAATGAAACACTCCCCTTGAGGCTGAAGTTGATTAACAAGCTCCTTCCAGACAGAAAGTAAATCCCAGAGCCACAGGAGCCCCAAGTTCCCACACACATAGGCAGGGAACTTGTTGAGGATTGACTAAATCACTGCTTTTTATTGAAGACTCAGAGTGGAAGCTTCTGGCTTAGCCTGTTTCCTGGTCTGGAATAGCCTCTATCATGGTGGGTGGCTCCATCCCATGGGCTGGGCCCTCCCCCATTGATCACTAATTGAGAAAATGCCCTACAGCTGGATCCCAGGAAGGCATTTCCTGACTGAAGCTCCTTCCTCTCTGATGGCTCTAGCAGCCCGCACACAGGGAATGATAGAGGCCCAGGTAGAATAATGAAGTTATAAATAAACCCTGGAGCTGGGCAATGGTGGCACACGCCTTTAATCCCAGCACTCGAGAGGCAGGCGGATCTCTGTGAGTTCGAGACCAGCCTGGTCTACAAAGCTAGTTCCAGGACAGGCTCCAAATCCACAGAGAAACCCTGTCTCGAAAAACCCAATAAATAAATAAATAAATAAATAAATAAATAAATAAATAAATAAATAAATAAGTTAATAAATAAACAAACAAACAAACCCTGGAGCTGGGGAAAGCAAGAAAACGGCTTCTTCGCCATATCCTCTGGGGAAACCTGGGATCACAGGGAGCTTTCTCCCCTGTCAAACCTGCTCTGGGCTTCTAACATCAGGAATATTATATGCCTTTGTGCTGTTTGAAGCAGTTAAGTTTGGGGTCATTTGTCACAAGGGCAGTAGGACTCTAATACTACAGAGCCATGTCAGGCTGTGTTCTTGGTCCTATGTTAAGTGTCTGGCACACAGAAGATGTTTGATGGGTATTCTTTGATGCCCTCCGAAGGTCAAGAAGACAATCTAAAGAAGAAAAACTAGAGTCCCGGGAAGTGTTTAGGATTTGAAGCATTAATCCATTCTTTTATGCATTCAACAAACATCGTGCTATCCCACAGGTATTGGTATTCAACCAGGTTTCCTGTTCTTAAGGTGTTAGTTTGTGGTTGGAGGGGATAGACAGTGAACAAGTTAATAAATAAATCCCCATGATCACATAGCAGAGTGGCGCAGGGTTCAGAAGAGAGGAGGTATTGCCCGAGACCAAGTGGAAACTTAGATATCCTACTGGCCCTTAGAGGGTGACGTCATGGTTACTACGGAGACTTAGATCTGGCCAACGTGCTGACAATAAATCACTGGCAAGTGTGGGACATCCATATAACCTGTGCCATGTGTACACACACACACACATACACATGTGCACAGACACCATACACCCATATACCATGTACCTATGCAAATACACTACATACATACAATACTTACCACACACATGCACATATGCTACACACTCATGCACACACACCACACACACATGAACACATACCACATATTCACAAACACATGCACACACCACACATGTGCAAATACAAATATATCACACACAATATATACAGTATTACACACACACACCACAATACCCTATATACATCACACATGTACACAAACACCACACTCACATACACCACACATACATCACATATAACACACACACCATAGAACAACACAGAAGAAAGGGCAGAAAGCACTAAAAAGCCAGAGAGAGGGTGGAGAAGAGCTTGATGATATGTTGCCATCCAGCTATGCTGTTGCCATGGCAACCATGAACACACAGCAGCAGTGGACACTTGCACAAGACTGGACCTCAACTTTCCCCCACAGACAGAGCAGGTGCCCATGAGGCCCCTCTTTTCTTGAGAACCCGCTGCCTGTGGGTGTTAGCTGGAGGAGGGGGTGCCATTTTCTTGGCTGATGTAAGTACTAGAGGACAAGATGGGAAGAAATGACTCAGAGGGAAAAGATGGGGATACTAGAGTGGAATGGGTGACTATACCACCATCCGTTGTATATACGGAGGGAACTAAAAGGGAAACTAAAAAAAGAATTCTCGCTGTGTCCACAGAACGTCGACTCTACTCTGTTTCTTTAATTTTAAGACACCAGAATCTTTTGTTTCCTGGAGTGGATTGCATGTGTGTATGTATGTATGAGCATGTGTGTAAGTGCATGAGTGTATTGTATATGAGCATGTGTGTAAGTGCATGAGTATGTGTATATGAGCATGTATGTAAGTGAATGAGTGTATGTGTGTGAGCATGTATGCAAGTGCATGAGCATGTGTATATCAGCATGTATGTAAGTGCATGAGTGTATGTGTGTGAGCATGTGTGTATGTGTGTGAGCATGTGTGTAAGTGCATGAGTATGTGTATGTGAGCATGTGTATAAGTGCATGAGTATGTGTATATGAGCATTGTGTAAGTGCATGAGTGTATTGTGTATGAGCATGTGTGTAAGTGTATGAGTGTATGTGTGTGAGCATGTGTGCAAGTGCATGAGTATGTGTATATCAGCATGTATGTAAGTGCATGAGTGTATTGTGTGAGCATGTGTATATGTGTGTGAGCATGTGTGTAAGTGCATGACTATGTATGTACATGTGAGTGTGTGTGTGCATGTAAGTACATAAGTGTGTGTGTGTGTTCTGTGTTGTGTGCTAGGATAGTTCCAAAGAAAGAAAGATATCTGGAGGTTCCACCCAGAAGTCTCTTCATGCCACTTGCCATGGGGGCATCAAAGCCACTCAAACCAAAACTGGGGTCTGAAATCAGATTCATCCGTGCTCAGAGCTGACCCTAGACCTAGACTATCCCTGCTGACCTAGACTGGGTTTTTCCACAGGACAGGAAGGCTCAGGAAAGTGCACTTACACACATGCTCACACACATAGATGGGAAACAGTGGTCAGTCCAGTGGGCCAAATGTCACCAGCACCCAGTCAGCACATGTCACACTTGGTTTGCTAGCATCCCCATGTGCTCTGAGGTCACCAGGCAAGTTAAGTTGGCTGATAACCTCACAGCCCCTTTCGGACACCCCTGAATGTTCTATTAATCAATTCTAGTGATACAGTTACATCCAAGCATTAGTTTACATGCTTGGTGAAGCCAAGAAGTCATCCTCAGATTCCATCTACCTTATTTTATGAGATAGAACTTGTCACTTTACGTAGATCTCAACAAGACCCATCTGCCTTCAGTTCCCTAATACTGGGTCTCTATGCATGTTTCACTAGACCAACAGCAGCAAAAGAAACATGAATTCTGGGAACTAAACTTAGGTCCTTGTGCTCCTACAGCGGGAGTCTTTCCCACTGAGCCACCTTGATGGAGGAAGGTCATTGGCTAATAAAGAAACTGCCTTGGCCCATTTGATAGGCCAGCCTTTAGGTGGGTGGAGTAAACATAACAGAATGCTGGGAGGAAGAGGAAGTGAGCTCAGACTCGATAGCTCTCCTCTCTGGGGTAGACGCAATGAAGCTCCGACCCAGGATGGACGTAGGCTAGAATCTTCCTGGTAAGCGCACCTCGTGGTGCTACACACATTAATAGAAATAGGCCAAGCAGTGTTTATATGAATACAGTTTGTGTGTCGTTATTTTGGGCATAAGCTAGCCAGACGGCCAGGAGCCAGGCGGCAGGAACGCAGCCTGCAGCTCCTTCAACAGACAACCCTTGCCCAGGAAGCATAACGATGGGGACCTGGCTGGCACAGCCGTCCTGAGACCTATGTATAGACTTGGTTGGACCCTGGCAGAGGCAGCAAGACTCTTAGGTATGGTCCACTTGAAGACGGAGAAAGAAAGAGCCCTTCTCGGGTCTAATGACAAGGAAGATGAGGAGTTAACCATGTCTCACAAGTGGTTCATCCTCCTGCAGACAGAGGTGACAAAATCAGGTCACACAGTGAAGGCAGGAAATCCAAGACCTCAACACTGTTCATTCTGAGCCATGTCTGGCACCTGGGCTGGGACTTATGAAGTGACCCTGCTCAGGCATGTGCCCATGGGAGCCTTAGTACAGCAACTGCCACCAATCTCAACCAATTATTCTCACCAGATAACTGCCCACTCTAACTTGTGACTTAGCTGGGTAAAGAAATCAGCTTTGTTGCTAAACAAACGACACATATCTAAGAGTCCCTGTGCCTCAGTTTCCTCATTTGTCAAGTAGATATCTTACTTCACATTTTCTCTAAAGTGGAAATGTGGTTATTACAGGACAATTGCTCCATGTATAGTAAGCACCTCCTTGACTCTCTCTGATCACTGGTCCCATGTTGGTTGACTTTGGCAGTGACCCAATGCCCTCCCTCATCTCGTCCCCACTCCCCGTGGTATCCACTGTCACCCCAGCATAGAGGTACCTGGCAGGTTGAAGTTCTTTTTCTGTCTTGTGCACTGTGGGGAAGGGTGCAAGGGAGAAGGCGGCGTGGCGCTGGGAGGGAGAGGGGGTGCTGGTGAGGAGGGTGTGGAGGACGTCGTGGATGAGGGGTTGCTGCTGGAGTCTGGCTGGTAAGGAACAGGGATGTGGTCCTGTGGAAAGAAAAACAGGGCAGGGGTCAGGGACAGGTGGGGGAGCAGAGACACAGCAGACGGGGTGAGCTGGACAGGAAGGGGCCCCCCAAGCCAGCTTCCTCAGCCATGGCTGCCCCTTCTGCAATTGTTAGAGTCTTCGAGAGCCTAGCCTAGTTCAGTAAGAGACCCTGTCCAATAAATAAATAAACAAAAAAATAAGACACAAAGTCACTTGAAGACACTTGAGGTCAACCTGTGACCTCCATGGGTGCATGCATAGGCCAACATGTGCACACGCACACAGACAACCTGTGACCTCCACAGGTGCATGCGTAGGCCAACACATGCACAGGCACACAGACAAAACACCTGAGCAAGCCAGTTTACAAGGCTGCACCCCTATGCGGAGGGGAGTTTCTGGAGTCACAGTCTTGTTTGCTGTTTGAACGCCAGGCAGGCAAGGCTGCTGTGGCATAATGACATCCACAGAGGTGCTAGCCAAGCCCTCTGTGCCTCTTTGATCTGGAGGGGCCCCATGCCGAGGTGCCCAGAGAACTGTCCCTGCTCTGACAGGTCTCCTCCCAAGTGTTTATTAAAGAATCAACAGCCTGACAGCTCCAGAGAGCGTGGGTGTGAGCCTTCAGCATCTCCCCCGGCATGCAGCTGGGACCTGCATCTTCTGTCTTGCTCTCAGACCAGCTTCAAGGGAAGGGCAAAGATGGAGTCCTTATGGGCACGTGCCAAATGCCCTTGTTGGATGAACTTGAGCAAACAGGTCAGTGGGTTGAATGTGACCTTCCACAAGACACGTCACCCAGAAGGTTAGAATCCAATCCCAGTTAGAACAAGGGTTGGCCATTGAAGATGTAACAAAGCCAAAGATGGGACTGAGTCCTGACTCTGAAGATGAATATGCTCCTGAGAGGCAGGAAAAGGGGAGATGCATAAAAAGAAGAGCAAACGAAGACAGATGCAGAAACTGGGGTGATGTCACCAGCAGTCCAGGGCTGCAGAAGCCACCGGAAGCTGGAAGAGGCATGTGTCCTTCTTCAGAGCTCGAGAAGGCAGCTTTACTAAAATGACGGCTCTAGCAGAGCTGAGTTATAGTCTACTGCACAGATTTACCACAATTGGTCCGTTATTGTCTGGTGAGGGATACCTAAGTTTCTTCCTGGTCACAGTTACTCTGTGTGGGGGGCGGATAAAGCTACTAAACATAGTCATAAAGAGGTTGTGGGCACATACGTGGTTCTCTAGAGTGGAGGCATCGTTTTATATCTATACTCCACAGTGAGCAACTTCCTCTGTGGCCTAGCCAGTACTTAGTGTGCTGTTATTTCTTATTGTGACAGGCATGTGAAAACAGTTTGTAGTGTTGGCTCATAGTGAGTGTCTTCTTCTGAGCCTGCTTGCCCTCTGGATGTCCTTTTGGTTTTGATTTCTGTAGCTATTTACTCAGTTTTGAAATTGGGTAGAATTTATTGTTTACATTTTGTTTATATATATATAATATTTATATATAAACATTTTTGGTTATTCTAGCTACTTTGCCTTTTCATATTATCTTTACAATGACAGTGTCTAGGGCTAGAGAGATGTGGTAAAGTGTGCACACTGCTCTTTCAGGGAACCCCAGTTCAGATCCTAGCCCCTACGTCATAAGATTCAAAACAGTTGAAGCTCCAACTCCAGGGAATCCAGCACCTTCTTCTGGCTTCCTTGGGTACCCGCACTTAATGCGCACATACCCACCCCCACACAATTAAAAAATAAAACTTGAAAAGCAAAGAACTGTTGTCACTGGGGTCAGGGGGCCCACCTGACTTGAGGCCACCCTCCAGGTCTACTTCCAGAGAGCTGAGCCCCTTGACAGCAACCTGTTGGTACCTCCTTGCCTCTTGGCTATTCTTACAGCATCTCACTTTGTGGAGCTGGGTGGGTGGGGCTCTGTTCTTTGCACCTGCAGCTGGGCAGCGTGCAGGATCTTCCAACCCCGTGCTCACAGCGGGAAGAGCCACAGCCTCTGCTGCCACCACAGATGTTTGTTTGGATGCCCTGACATAGGAGTCTAGGGCTGGAGGCTGCTCCCTGAAGGAGCTGGCAGACGCTATTGATTTTGCTTGTCTGGCGTCTCTCCATTTCCTGTCTTTATCTCTCCCACCCCTCTCCATCTCCTCCATTCCCTCTTTCTTCCACCACTTCCTCTTCTCTTTCCTCTAGTTCCTTCTCATCATTTATTCCTTTCTCACTCCCATTTTCCCCTCATCTTTCTACTCCTTTCCTTCTTCCTCTACCGTTCCCTCCTCCTCCCTTCTCCCTCTCCTCCTTTTCTCATTCCATTACTTTGTTTCTCTCTTTCTCTCCACACCTCCTCCCCCTCCTCCTCCCCCTCCTCTCGCTTTCTTTCCCCCTCCTCCCTGGTCCTCCCCCCTTCTACTCTCTTTCCTTCTGCTCCTACTCTCTCATCCCTGAGCACTTAGTGCTGGACCAAATCCTTTATACATATGACACATCCAATCCTCTCAACCACCCCTCCTATCACCTTGACCATTTCACAGAGGGGAAAAGTAAGACAAATGCACTTTGAACCGGCCTGATCACAACAGCCCAGCAACTTAAGGAGCTGTGCTACAAGCCCAAGCTTTCTGACTCCCCAAATCCACCTTCTGTCAACCTGTCAGGTGAGGAAGCAGGGCCTCTATGAACCTGGATGGACTGGGCCAAAGAGGAGGACAGACTAATTTAAGAGTAGGAACTGTTCAGAGCAAACTGGCTGAGAAATCTGCCCCTGAACCATATCTTGCCTGACAACAAGAATCTGCATGAAGCCAGTGAGACGAGAACAAGGCAAAAAAAAAAAAAAAATAGCCCAGCCCGATGAGAGCGCCTGTCCACCTCTGTGGCAAAACTGCTGTCTGGGTCGAGGCCAATTTCTGTCCCTTCCTGAGTGTCCCTGCTGGCAGACAAGTACAACAGTGTCACTCTGGCTCATCCATCTGACCCATGTTTTTGTCCCATCTGACATCAAGAGGCTCCAGCACTGGCTAAGCCAGACAGAAAGGTCTCGGAGTGGCTTTGAGCTCCTGGCCCCTGATGATGTCACCGATGGGTCCTAAGATATGCACAGTCACTTCTGGAAGAGCAGGACACTGTCCTGTCCGGCCTCTCCTCGTTCCTTCCAGCCTTCCTTCCCTCTTTCCCTCTCTCCTCTCAGCAGTACCACACATGGAAGCCAGAGCCTTGCACACACTAGCCAAGTTCTTATCCACTGGGACCAGCCCTGAGACTTCCAGAAGCAACCAAAGTAAATGGTCCCGGATTTGACGCTTAGTGCGAAGCTCCGAGATCAAAGACAACGCTCCTTCAGGTTCCCTGGATATCTGCTAGGCACCAGGAACCTCACGAAGCATCTTCGAATGATGATTATCTGCCGCTGCCTCAGGGACAGATCCCCACCAAAGCTGGTGTTCTTAATAGGCACTATGAGCCTCATAAAGCAGGGACCCCAAACCTCTTCCCAGTGACAACTGGCATCTCCCTTGCCTAACTTCAAGTCCTGCGTGCAGTTGCTCCCTTAGTGAAGAACTGTGGGAACGACACTGCCGTGGTCTCATGAGCCGTCATGGAAGAGAAGCACAGGTGCTGTGGAGTGGATCTACCAGGGGAAGCCCAGGCTGCAGGCAGTCACCCTGCCTGACTTCTCTGCCAGGCACTGACTTTGACTCCTCCCAGCCCAGGCACCAGACAGGAGAGTAAAGAAGTCTGTAAAACTGTAAAAGCATTTGACGGTAAATATCGCAGGCTTTTCAGCCACGTAGCCTTCTTGTGGCTCATCAACTTTGCTATCACCCAGCGTAAAAGTAGCAATGGACGGAGTGGGCATGGTTTGAGTCATGCAAAAGCAAGCAGTGGGCTGACCGTAGCCTAGTCGAGGTGCCACTAGCCACCAGTTATGGGGGTTTCCCAGATAGAGTCTCTGGATATTGTAACACAAAGGTAAAACGTCATACTCCCCCATGGAGCTCTGCCCTAATTCCTAGCCCCTAGACTGAAGACCACAAGCACAATACAAATGTGGTTATTATATACTGCTCATTTGGGGGTGCTTTTCTGTAAAGCAGTAGACAGCTGAAACATGTCCATTTTATATAGAGGAAAACTTTAGGTCTGAGAGATTTAAGTCACTTGTCTATGTTTTCACAGACCCCAAGGCTGGCTGCCAGTTTGCCCTGGCCCCAGAACACAGGCTCTTTCAAATGCTAGGATGGTATAACAAGGAGCCAGAAAGTGACCCCAAGAACTAGCAATAAAAAATGATAGCCAGTAGCTGCAGGGAAAGCGGAAGCAGACAGGGCTTTGGAAGGGACCGTGGGAGGTCAGACACGAAGGGTGGGGCCAAATGACACCGCTCTAAACCATGCGACGAACCAGATGTGATGGCACACACCTGCAATCCCAGCACCTAAGAGGCTGAGGCAGGAGGATCTCAAATTTGTGACCAGCAGGGCAATGACTCAGGGGTTCAACTGCTTGCTGTATGAGCAAGGGGACCAGAGTCTGGATCCCCAGAACCCATGTAAGTGCTGAGTTAGCAGTGAAGCCTGCCTAGAACCCCATCCTTAAAGGACAGAGACAGGGGAAACCCCAGAGCAAACTGGCTTGCAATAGTAGCCCCATCGTCAAGTTCTGCTTTTGATTAAGAAGTCCTTCTTCAGGAATAAGGTACAAGAGCCATCAAGGAAGCTCTTGACACCAGCCTCGAACCTCCACATGCATAGTTATCCCACGCGTGCACCCTCGCACAAGTGCCCACAAATACACAAAATCGTGCACACACCCGCATATCCACACACTCATGAAAATGAAAGAAAATATGTATATAAGTAAAAACAAATTAGATTTGCTTCCAGAAACCAACAGAAAACCAGTCAGTGAGTCAAGTTCACTGAGACCCGCTCTGGCTATTGGAGGGAGAGCGATTGGGGAAAGGAGTCTTCTCAACAGACAGAGCAGGGAAGCAAGGCCACACTTTGCCAGGGAGGAGGACAGCAGTCACCAAGATGCTCCTCTGCCATTTGCACACAGATCTGTGCCCTCCCACATCTGAGTCGGCACCACGCTTTATCCATCTTTGATATAATACATGGGGGCTTTGTGGGGCCTGAGTAAACCACCTCTTGGCATATGAGAACTTGGCTTGTACTGTGGGGCTGGAATTGTCCCTGGGACGATTTCAGCACAGACCATCAATAGACCAAAGCCGACATGGAGTGATCACGCCAGAAAGGAAGATGTACAGATGGCAGCCTGCTGCCATCCGCTCTTACTCAGAGCCCCCAATGACATCTACCCATCCATCCAAGCCCCTGCCAGAAGATCATCATCCCTTAGTTCAACAGATGTTTAGAAAGCCCACCACATGTGCACAGCTACTCTGGCAGATGGGGAAGACATCCCAGGCAGAGCAGCCAGGGGTTGAAGGACCACAGAAACCCTTTTTGGTTGCTTCTTACCATCCCAGGGCTCTGTCCCCTCAAGGCATCCGTTCTCATTCCCATGGGCCTAACTCTATACTGTGCATTCTGCCCTGAGTAGCTCTTTCAACTGATCACGGGATGCTTCCCATCTGCCCTGAAAGACTGACTGCACACGAACCACCCAGAACCATGAGTGTGAGTGTCATGCCCCTGTTCAATCCCCTCCTCCTTCCCAGCTGCCCTCTGGCCCTGTCACTGCTATCTGCGCTTCCCCCCATGCTCACCCCGTAAAAGCCACACCTTACCTTGTTGATTTTGTTGGTTTTGGGGAGCGTCTGGCTTATGTGCAGATCTGAGTATCGTGCTGGCTTCCGGACAGGGTTGTTGATGTCACAGGGGACCGACTCCGTTCGCACTAACCTTGCTGGGTCCGTAGGGGTAAAAACAGCACAGAGAGTCTAAGAATCACGTCGACTTTCGTCATGTCAGGAGACCCAGCTCACATCCCAATTTAGAACATACCGGTGATGCTGGAAACGACAGCCTTGCACCACCATGACAAATGTTCTGGGTGACCCTCTGTAGTGTGGTTTTGCATTCTCTGTATTATCTGCAGTGTGTGTGTGTGTGCACATGTACTGACACATGCACTTGTCAGTGTAGATGTGTCATGTGGGTGCGTGTGTGGGTGTGAGTGTGGTGACCTGAGGTTGGCAGCAGGTCTATCCTTGGTCTCGTTCTGCCCTTCTTTTTTGCGATGGGGTCTCCCACTCAACCTGAAGCTCATAGGTTGGACTAAGCTAGCTGGCCAATGAGCTTCAGGAATCAGCCTGTCTAAGCTGCCACCCCCAACACTGGGGTCCCAGGAGTGTCCTGCCATTCCGGCATTTTGACATGACTTCTGGGGATCTAAACTCAGGTCCTAATACTTGCATGGCAGGGATCAATTTACCAACTGAGCCATCTCCCCAGCATCGATACATGCTTTTTCAAATATTTCTTTTTTGAATTATTTATTCCCTTACACATGGTTTTTGACAACAGATATAGGGAGCTGCCATCTTTTTGTTTGTTTTCCCACACTGTCACTGTGACACACTGCCTTTTACTTCAGCCTCGAACTTCAGCTGCGACACAGGAGACCCCTGACTTCATGAGACCTACAATTAGCATACAAGCCGTGATGGACACCTGTCCCTATGCCTCTAACCGTTCGTTAAGATATCTTCTATTATGTATGGGGTTTGTCGGGACTAAGAAAACTGTCACACATTGGACCGCATGTGTCCCAAATAACTACGGATCCCTGCAATGATGGCTCAGCTTCTGCAGCCTCTCCCCTGGGTATTATCCCAGAGCCAAAGCTGGATACACAAGCAAGATGCTAACTAACTGCTTCCTGGTGGGGACAGAGCTCCATCCTGAAGAGCCTGCCTCTTGTTATTTCTGTCACTCACAGGGAACACGGTGTGCAGTGCCAGTGAGCCGCTCAAGTTCAGATTTGCCTGCCTACCACCTTTCCTTGTTAGTTGTGTTTTTGTTGGAGGTGTGGGGTGGGGGTGGGGGGTTGAGGAATTCAAGCTTTGCACTGACCCAGGGATTTAATTTCTCTGCTTAGCCTGAGCTGCCATTACCATGGAAACGGACTCTATTTTCAACTTCCCAACAACAGGGAGAAAGGGGGGGGGGGGGGGAGATACAGGAAGCCAGTGGACTTCTTCAGGAAAGTTTCTCTTTGATTTACTTGTAAGGCACAAGCCCCCCTGGAGTCCAGGGAGCGTGGCCTTGAAGGCAGGTGAGAGGAGGGAGACCCTCTCCAAATACCAGGCTCGCCTCCCTGCAGTCTGGGTCTCACCTTCCTGGGGAGTTAGCCTCCAGAGCCCCTACTAAGGAGCAGGATTTGGTGGGAGGCGAATTCCCCTGTGAAGCTGACCTCAGACAGGGGCTCAGGAGCTGTGTGAACTCAGGTTTCAAAATGCGAGGGCTACTAAGGTGTGGGATGCGGAGAGGAGAGGCAGGAAGTATCCATGTCACACACCTTAGTTACACAGAACAGCGGCGTGCAGGTACATTGCCTTAGGAAAGGAAATGGCGGGCGTAGGGTTACCTTGTAGGGATGAGCTTTACTGGGAGAGGGTGGCCTGCAACCAGGGGAGCCATGATCAAGTCTTGAGTAAGCATTGAAGAGAGACAACACGATCAAGCCCAAAAGGGAAGGACAGCCCTTGAAAACCCAGGGAGAAGCTTCATTTCTTTAATGATGTAACCCCTGGTAGATTGGCCTTAGGTCAGGGTAAGCTCCAGTGCTCCCCTAAAATCTCAAACCTGGTTAGGGAAGGATGGGAGGGTGTAGACAGTGGTGATGGAGGAAGTTGGGAGAGGTGAATATGTTCAAAATACACTGCATGAGATTCTCAAGGAATTAATAAAAAAAAATTAAAGAGAGCAAGAATGAGAGGGAGAGAGAGAAGAGGAAGCAAGCCTGCTCAAGGGAAAAGAGACCTACATGGCCACCACAGGCAGGATGACAGGGGGGGGGGAGAGCAGAGCATGATCCTTCAGAGAAATTCCCAAATAAAGAAATATATCTGACTTTCATTTTGGGGTGGGGATGGGGGCAAGAAAGTCCACATCATGTGATTTAGTCTGGGATAGCCTACATGACAAGGAGGATGGGGGAGCCAGGATGGGACCATAACTTAGAGATTGTAAAAACCACAATACAGATGCTTATTAATTGTCTGTCCCCAGAGGAACAGAGGGAGGGCAGCTGGAAGCTGGCGGCCTGAGCTCTTTAGGCTGCAACGTCTGGCCATTTACACGGACCAGCATCTAAGGAGAAGGCTTCGATCTCACAAGATGGAGAGACATCATCAGGAGAGGTCTCTGCAGGGATGAAATTGCTGTCCCTCTGTGTCACCACCCACTGCCTCAGCCACATGTGGCTCCCGAGCCCTGAGATCTGGCTGGTGGGACTTTCAGTCCACTCCCATTAGCCCCAAGTTAAATAGTCAGACGTGGCTAATAGCTGCTTATCCAACAGCACAGACTTTAGAGATGGCCTGGGGGATGGTGTCATGGAGGGCTGGGAGTAACGAGGAATTAGGGAATTATTTTCTAAGCTGGGCTGTGAGACCTTAGGAAGAGTTATCGTCGCCTACCAAGTCCAGGGCAGAGTGTAACGCTTTTCCTACTGGCTGAGTCGGTCTGGCTGTGCACTGTGGAAGGCTTGGTCAGGCTGGCCCAGACGCTCCCAGGACCCCAAAACACAGGACACAGAAAGGCCTAAAATGGCTCTGCCCTGAGCTGGACTATCACGGAATATTAAACTAGTGTTTAATTTTAAATTAAAATAGTGTAAATGTGTTACATTTGTTTCTGTTGCAGAATATTACTTTAACAGGGTAAATATGTGTTTCTTTGCCTGCCTAAGGCAGCTGATTGATCTAATAAAAATCAGAACAGCCAAAAGCTAGGCAGTAGAGGGACAGATGGGGCTGGCAGGCAGAGAAAAATCTAGGAGACAGAGAGAGAGAGAGAGAGAGAGAGAGAGAGAGAGAGAGAGAGAGAGAGAGAGAGAGAGAGGAGGAAGAGAATGAGTGAGAAGAAAGACACCCGGGTCATCCAGGCAGCCATCAGACAGACAGACATGGAGTAGGACATCCCGAAGGTAAGAGAGGTAAAAAGCCCTGTGGCAAAACGTAGATGAAGAGAAACAGGTTAAATCAAGTTATACATGCTAGCAAGAACTGAGCCTAAGAAGCTAAGGCCGAGCATTCATAACTAATAATGAGTCTCCATGTCATGATTTGGGAGCTGGCGGTTGGTCCAGAAGAAAAGCCTGCTACACCAGACTCCTCCCCAAGGCCCCTTCTGCAAGACCAACTGAGTGAGCCTGGGCCACACAGTGGAAAGGTCCTAGCCAGCACTCTTTTTTGAGTGTGAAGGAAAAGCAATGGAGTGGAAAGAAAAAAAGAGAGTGAAAATTAAGACCAGGGGCAAAAAGAGTCAGGGGCAGTAGGCACTAAAACCTCAGAAGGACCAGTGGGAAAGCAAGAAATAGGGACAACAGGGGTGCAGGATGGAGAGGGAACACGGCAGGAAGAAGGAAAGAAACTGGGTGGGCAAAGGGGCTAGGGATCGGGAGATACCTGGAATCAGGCTGGGTGGGAGGGCTGTCTGGGATACAAGAGTCTTGAGCCCACAGGGGAACAAGTGTTAAATACTTACCTCCTCGGTGGATGATCAGGAGATGACAGGGCGGGGCTTCTTTGGTACATTTGTTGTGGCACTTTAACCTGAAAGACAGAGAAGAAGCAAGTTGGATGGGTTAACTGAATGGTTGGTTGGCTTGGGACAGATGGATGGATGGATGGATGGATGGATGGATGAATAGAATGGGTGGGTGAGGTGGATGGATGAGCTGAATGGATCGATATAAATATGGATGGGTAGAAAGATGGAGGGATTAACTGGTAAATGCATGATTGGTGGATAGAAGGACTGATGATGGATAGATAGACAGATAAATATAGATGAGTAGATGAGAGAATGATAGGTGGATGGATGGATAGATGGGTGGACAGATGGGTGGATGGACAGATGATGAACTAATAGATGGGGTAGATGAATACACATGCAGATAAATGTGTGGATAAATGGCTATATAAATGATAGGGAGGGAGGGCTGGAAGGACAGGTGATGGAAGATGGATGAACGAGGGAGTGAAGGAATAAGTAGATGGACAAATGAGATGCCCCAGTGGTCTGGACTACTCCAGGCACTGAAGACAGCAGAATGTGAGGTGAGGTAGAGGAAGCAAATAAAGAAGCTGACCCTCCACAACCCAGATGGCTAACTCTGGAGAGAGGCTTCCAGTGGGACTCTCCAGTTCCACCCTGGGTGCTCCAAGAGGAAGCAGCAATTGTTTTTAACAATATCCATGGTAACTTCATGTGTAGAAACATGCTTTCATCATCATCTGCATCAACAGCACCCCAGTCTTACCCATCATACCAAGTGCTCAAAGACTCACCCAACAGCCACTACGGCAAACGTCTTCCATACACAAGTACATTGGAATCCTACAGCTGTAATGAGTAGCTATTATTGTCTTGATATGAACTGATGTGCCCTGGATAAACCCCTAAGCCACTGTACCATAGATAGTCTCTCATCTCCCCTAAAGCCTGAAGCTCTTGGAGACGTCAAACCAAGGCTTACCTTTAAGATGCAATCATTAGACACAAGTGAATTTCTTCCAGAAAAATCTAAGGAGGCAGTCTTCTTTCCCACCACATTGCCTGACTGCCCAAGGATGATACTGCCCTTCCGCTAAGTCACTGCAGTGACATCAATCAGTACAGAAGAATGGACATCCCACGTGAGATACTGGATCAGCCCCATACAGACCCTCTCTGGATTCACCTGGCATTTTGTGCACCCAAGTAAAGCTTCCAACTGTTAACATCTTTGCCAGGAGACTGCCCTCAGGCTCCCAGCATCATAAGATTAAACAGAATGTCCCACCCACCATACAGAGGTTAGAGTATATTTCCTCCCTCTAAAGCTCTGACGTACTCTCCATAGGATGTTAGCACACCTAGGCACAGGTCAGAGCAAGAGCCCAGTTCCACAATTCTCGACATGGATTTCCCACCCAACAACATCCGTGCTTTCTGGAAATATCTCTGGGATTCTCTGCAGAATTGGCATCTCTGAAGCTGGGCTAGAATAAGCCCTGAAGCGACCCAGATTGTGTGAGGCAGGGGAACCAAGGGTCCACTTGGCAGTACAGCTTTTCCCATCTTTTTCACCATCTCTCCCGGGTCTGAGAAAGGTCCTGCCTTCATCTCTGATATGGAGACTTTAGACCTGGGGCCCTTGTGCACACAGAGGACAACCCTACCTGGGTGGCTCCAAACAATCAGGAAGCTGAGCTCTCCTTTTCCATCTGACCAAACTGGAGGGAGGGTGTCTTCAGATGCTCACCCAGTCGAGACACATCTGGACAGCAGACACTAGGGCAGGGACCTCACTGCCATCTCCTTCTATCTAATATGTTTTTAGGTCACTTTATGTGACTGGCAAAGGATATTGTTTTTCCATTCATAATAAAGGCGAGTTTTCATCTTTAAATGAACCTACCCCTGTGGTTTGAGTCTGAGGTGTCCCCCAGAGGCTCATGTTTTAAACACTTGGCTCCCAGCTGGGATTGCTAGTTTGAAGAGGTAGGGCCTGGCTAGTTATGTCATCAAGGGGTGGGCTTGGAAGGTCATGCCTGCTTTGAGTCCAGAGTGTTTTTCTGCTTCCTGCTTCTTGTCACATGAACATGCCACTCTGTAGGTTGTTACCACCATGTCTTCCTTGCCATAATGAATGAAACCCAGAAACTGAGAGCCCAAATAAATCTTTCTCCCCTTAAGTTGCCCCTTACATTGACCAAGGAACACAATACACTTTAGCCCAAAAGGCAGTAATAAGGTTGGGCATGGTGGCATATACCTCTAAGTCAAGCACTCGGAAGGCTGGGGTCTTTGCAAAATTGATGTCAGCCTGGGATACATTCTGAACTCCACTACTTTGCAAGGATGAAATGATAGCATGCTTGTAAAGTGTTACACAAATTATCTGCAATATGGTGACTTTCAGTCACCATTACCACCATTGCCATCATCATCACCATCACCATCATCATCACCATCATTAGCATCATCACCATCATCATCATTACCATCATCATCACCACCACCATCATCATCACCACCACCACCATCATCACCACCATCATCATCATCACCATCATTACCATCATCATCACCATCATCATCTCCACCACCATCATCATCACCACCACCATCATCACCACCACCATCATCACCAACATCATCACCATCATCACCAGTATCATCATCATCACCATCATCACCATCATCATCATCACCATCACCATCATCACCAGTATCATCATCATCACCATCATCATCACCACCATCACCAACATCATCACCATCATCGCCATCATCACCAGTATCATTATCATGCCCAGAAACACTCATGACCCCTGCCATCTCCACCATCATCTACCATCCCCCACCACCCCTACCATCATATCATCATCATATCCAAATCCCACTTCAGCCTCCAGAAAATTATGCCCATCCCTCACATATCAGAATAATCAGACCCAACAATTTTCTTATAATAGTGAAAAACGCACATGAGGGACGATTAATTCCCAGGATGTTTTTTTTGCAAGAAGTGAAGTGTTTCTATTCGTGGAAAAGCGAGTTTGGGCTTCAGGCGGGTGATCTCCAAAACGCATGCTCATAATTATATCCTGCCAGCATCCTGCCTGCTGGGCAGCCTCCCGGGCCTCTAGGAACTCCACAGCAGCTGCAGAAGCTGCACCCATGGGTCTCCAGTTTGGCTCAACTGGAGCTCGGAGAGATTAGCTCCAGTGTTACCCCTTGTGGCACCTACATGAGTGGGGAGTCCCTGTTGTTCTACATTTCATTCCGATCTTAGTTTATGATGCTGCTCCATGCCTGCACCGTTTATTTCTTCCCACGTGAACCATCTCTCCCCTCAAACACAGGACTTCATCCACTCATTTGCTGCAGCTCCCTAGTACCAAGAGCACACTATTTCCAGCTTAGCTTGGGGTTTGATCCAACACTACAACACAGACCCTCCCCCGAGGCCAGAGAGTCTGAAGGTCTCGCCAGAGAAAGAGCCAAGGCAGAGGAGTGGAAATTGTATTAGCTTGAGAAGACCAGTAGGAATCCTATGGCATCCTAGGTCTGTCTAGAGGAGCAGTTTGACCCACATCCCTGTCTCCCAGGATGGAAGTCAGGAGACACAGCACGTAAGAACCGAGCTCAGGCCTTTGCTGCTCAAGGCTCTGTGACCTTGGCTGAGCCTCAGTTTCTCACTCTGTAAAATGGGGGGCACCCATCACCAAGTAAAACACCTGGAACACCACCTCAGTCACCGTGATCTGTCCCTGTGCTCGTCACTCTTCTCCTTTAGGGACAAAATCCATGACACGGGCAACTTGAAAAGAGGGTGTTAGTGCTGGCTCAGTTCTGAAGGCACACTCCATCCGCGGGGGAACGACATGGGGGTAGGAACCTGAGAGGGCTGTTATGTGGTACCCATGGTCAGGAAGCAGAGAGAGATGGATGCTGGGACTCAGCTTGCTTACCCCAGTTCTTCAGAGTGGGTCTTCCCACCACAGTTAAACCTTCTGGAAATATCCACAGAGAACACATCCAGAGGTGTTTCCAGGTCGACTCTGAATCCAATCAAGGTGACAGTTAAATTAAGCCATCATCGCCCCCAAGTGTCAGCTCTTGTTGCTTTGAGGGTCATGGTTTGTGAATCTGTCAGTCATTGGTACCTTTTAATGCCTCTCAACTACTGTGTTCTTCCTGAGTCAAACTCTGTTCTTTATGAAGATTCCTGACCACCAAAGCCGTTGTTCCTAATGTGTACCATTATAATTTAAACACGTCTATTTTCCATGCATGCTAAGCATGCTGTGACATTCTGATATGCGCATCCAGTAAGTCATGATCGCATCAGGGTTTCTAACTCATCCTGCATTTTATATATTATTTAAAGGGTCCCCTATCACTGTCCGCATGTTACAGACAAGGAAACCGAGGCCTTGGGAGTAAATACCTGGCACAGAATCTCACAGAGGGTAGATCAGTTGTCAAAACACGGGTCTCCCTGACTCAAGACCATATACGTAACAGGCTAGTTTACAAGAGCAAGGGCTGGCCACAAAGTAGGACCACAATCACTCCTGCCTGGCTCTGCTTCCCCTGGAACTTCCCACACAGAGCACAGCGGGAGACCCGGGGTTCAGCCCTGACCCCAGACCATTCTCACTGCCTCTGCAACCCACTTACCACTTTCCCATCATGCATCATTTCTGGAAGTGGACGGTGCCACTGGGCCTTTCTTTGGCTTGTGAGATTCTACTCTTTTGGGGGTTAGGAAAGGAGAGAGAATGCACACCCCTAAAGGGTCATGAGTCCACCCTTCCCCTCTCTTAATCTCTCATGGAGCGAAGAGCCCTAGGGTGTCCTTAGTTAAGCTATCCCTGGGTACTCCAGTCTCATAGGCCCATGCCCCCACCATTGTTTATGCGAAGTCTTCCTCTAGACAATATCAGACTGACGAGCTGGTCCCTGCTGGGCTGTTGAGCAGTCAGGGAGACTGTTGGTCTGTCTCCTGTGTTAAGAGCCTGGCACCAAGGCCCTTCTAGAAACATGGGCCGGCACAGAA